TTGTGTTGAAGTCATCAGGAAAGCCAATTAACTACTAATAGTTGTTTTTTGTGGTGATTGTGTCTTGGTTGATAAGTATTGAGCCGAATTTAGTTTGTTCTTATCATTTTGCACACTATCAGAATCAGATATTTTTCCCCTTGCCTTTTCCGCGAGTTGTTGGTGGTCTAACTTTGAGTCACGGTCATTGTGGGGGCCATGACGATGATTTCGATATCAAAACATTGCAATACAACTTCAATTTGATCAAGTTATTGGTGAAATTATAGGTGTCTTAACGTTTTGCATCAGACTGTAGTAACATGTACTTGGGTGCTTCGTCCGGGTTGTCATACGCTATACATAGGCCATGGACACAACTTATCATCCGAAGATTGATATGATGTCTAGTGTCCATACGCCGTTTGCTTAAATATCATAGACTGGCGATAAATCTCCTTTTCGTGTCGTCAACGTGCAGCAGCAATACACAACTCTGACATCTCCACAAATAACGCTAAGCGCATTTGTCGACGTGTCACCAAATACTACTAATAATACTTACACCTTATGAGTGCTGCAACTGTCTTGGCCTGCGCCTTATTGGCGAATTCCCAGACGCCTCCGTCTTGGAGGTGGTTAAGCCCTTTGGTTACCAAAGGCTCCGAGTTCGTCGACATGGCGACAGGGACGAGTTCCGGATCAAGGGAATTGCATTCAACCCTCGCGCGAACGCTGGCACGAAGTTCCCCGTCAACTCGGTTGACTGGTTCACAGATGACATGAGTATGTTTGTCAATTCTAGTCCAGTAATACTAGTACTACGTAGTACTTGTTCTGCCGTCACTAACAGTCACACCAGCTGCGAAGGCTGCTTGCTACATCTTGATGTAGATGGTGAGTAGGTAATTCTGTTGCTGCAGCCGAACCTCCACAGTGCTACACGGACGCCCCGTCAACTCGGTTGACTGGTTCACAGATGACATGAGTATGTTTGTCAATTCTAGTCCAGTAATACTAGTACTACGTAGTACTTGTTCTGCCGTCACTAACAGTCACACCAGCTGCGAAGGCTGCTTGCTACATCTTGATGTAGATGGTGAGCAGGTAATTCTGTTGCTGCAGCCGAACCTCCACAGTGCTACACGGACGCCATTTTTGCCCGTGCCACATATCGATCTACAATGCGGTCGCCGTCTACGACAATGTGATTGTACTGGTATGGGCATGTATATGTTGTTGAATTCAGAATATATCACACCCATCAAATGCTTATACAGTTATATCACTAAAATCAAATGTCTATACCGTTGTATCACAAAACTCAAACGTCTCTCTATGGTATGGCTTTTCCGCCGGCAACAACAACATCGGCAAAGTGGTGAAAACGTCGGCGCCGTGTGTGAAGGCTCTTATCGGAGATGTGCGTGCGTACGCTGACAATTGCTACGACATGAGAGCTGTACCCATCGGTCTGGACATCGCAGGCGTCGACATGCCGGCACATCCCCGTGCGACCTGGCTCGGGACTACGACTGCTTGCTAGATTCCGACGAAAACACTCGGGCCGAGTGGCATTGGGTACTTCAGCCCAGACAACTGCGACCACGAAGCTATTCTATGCAAGTGCACCAAATCTTGGCCAAGGCGTCCAAGCCTTCCGCACTCAGCATCAAAGCGTACGTGTAAGGAGGTCATGGCTTGCCCCGCAGACTTTCCGAACGTAGCCGTGCCCGGTCACCCCAAGGGTAAGTTCGTTCCTTCAAGTAACGTTATTTTAAATCTGCTGACCTAACAATAAGCATGGAAATATAGTGCGAGTTCTGTCTTGCTCGGTGAACAGACCCCAGTGCAACGGTGGTGCTGGTTTCTACATTGGCACCACCACCGGCACCGCCAAGCCGAGTTATTCCACTGCCACGCCAAAGAGGCTGTTGGATTATGCGGTCGCGACTGCCAATCCCACGGCCACCCCCGACGCTAGCGGCGCATCCGCTTCCGCGTTGGCCATGGCTGCCGTTGGAATGTGCGTTGCCACGATGCAATGGGCTTAACACGACGAACTCGTTGTGGTGCAAATTCATACTTCGAAGCACAAGCTTCGCACGAGGCCATCGTCCTCAGCTTGATTGTTAGTGGTGGCGGCTGGGATGTCATTCGTTTCGTACTCGCATACGTAGCAGAGGGAGGCGGTGGGCATAACCAGCGCACCCGAGCCGCCGCACGCAGGACCCAAGCGAACAGCACCGCCAAAGAATACCACGCCTTCCGTGCGCGAGTCATTCAGGGTTTCATATCGCAACGGATCCGACGCCGCAAGTGCAAATGGGTGCATATTGCGAGACAAAGACGAGACGAGATGGTCGAACTCGACGGCTATGGAACGGTAACGACGCTACAATGATAGCTCTAGCACTGCATGAAGAAACAACGCATGGAATCCACAACATGACGTTACTCCAAATCTACCGCTTGGAATTGATCAGCTATCGAGAGCATTCTGCACCATGTGACAATGGAATGGACATGGTTGCGTCGGGTCAGGCAACGTGTTAGTATTAGTGTAGGTTTTCCATCACTGACTTTTCGCCGGGGTACAATTTGCTGATGGTTACTTGTCGTCGCAACAAATTCAACTGCTCAAAGCCGAAACCCAGCGCCGCGGAGAGGTCGCCGCCCTGCACGCCGGCGTTGGCTCGGAAGTCGGCCTTGATCCGGCGTTGGGAATACGTCCGAAACGTGTAGTTCTACAACAGCATACACATGAGAACCATCAAGCCATACGAGTCATATCCACGACGCACCTGGAATTGAGCCGCTTCACGGAGAAGGTCTCGGTACAAGCGAAGGACTTCGGTGCTTCTAGCCGCCATGTTGGTCGAGAGTCAGCGAATGCCACAGAACACTTGCAGTATTCCAAGCTCCTGTATTGGTCCAATAGAAATTCTTTCATCCAATCAACGCTAATTAATCAAATGTGGACACTATTCATGGATAAGTTCTCCACACTATTTAACCTAATCAGTTTCAGGGGAGTCTTAGTAAGTTAGTAGTACGTATTAATAGTACTTAAAGTACTACTTCAGAAGTACTTCGAAGTACGTACTACTAGTAGTACATATTAGTTTTTGTCACACTAAATTCTACGACAGTTCACATTCGCGTGAATCGTTGCGCGTGAAGCCAGCCATGAGCAATATGCAGCAGCTCATGGAACACTTGCGGAAGATTGAAGCGGGGAAACAAACCAACTCGCGCATGCTTCGAACGTTCCAAGAACGCCACCGTAATGGCATCGAGAAGGATGTTGTGGGTAGTACCAGCGAAACTACTATCAATCCACCACGTGACATTTACTCGATCCTGTTACAAGAGCATCACAGTCCCAAGCAAGCTTCGTCAACGACGCCTACAAACCGGCGCCCAGTTACACCTCCAGTCATTGTTGTGCCACTGTCATTACGCCGGGAAAAGCTACACGAAGACATGGCCAGGCTCCTCGTCCGCCCATCACAACTCACTGGCAACGCCATCGTTGCACCCGCCCCGTCTCCACCTAAAGGAGGAAGGCATTCCCCGTCGAAGCCACAGCACAAATCTTCAATAGACCCCGGTCTACAGACCCAGCTCATTCGAGAGCAATCCGAGGAGGCCAATGCACTGCGCCAAGCGTCGGACGACGTCGCTGCGACATTAACCATGGCCCAAGACCTCATTCCGCTTTCATTTCTTCTCGAAAGAAACATGAAAGCGCTTTGTCAGTCCAAAGCCGGGGCGATCATTCAGTCTGCATTCCACACGTTCCTCCTCCACTTCTACGCCGACGCGTGGCAGCACTGGAAAGCGTTTGTTGTCATGTCACGCCATGCCGAACGAGTTGCTGCGGCTTCGTTCCTCACCCGAGTCTACCGCGGTCACCGAGCTCGAAAGGCATGCGCAGTCCTGCGACGTCAACTTGCCACCCTAGAAGGCCTCAAGGCCACGGCGATAGCCCAGATTGTCACCCGTCGGTCCAATGCGGCGCTGGCCATTCAAATGTGCTTCCGTCGACATCGACTGCAATTGCGCAAACTCCAAGTCCAAGCGCGTCACGCAGCTGCGACTCGAATCCAACGACTGACGGTGTATAACAAACAACGGTCGATGGCGTTGGCTAGGATGCTCCTGGACGCCCGCAAGATCCACGCAGCGTTGAAGCTCCAGAAACTGTGGCGCGGTCACTGCGGTCGCCGGGTAGCAGCCCGTCGAAAGGTGCAAGATCGTCGGGCCAAAAGGCTTCAAAAACTCAGTCAGCCAGACTTGGCCATCGCCCATCGCTTTGAAGCCCAAGGCGCCGCGTTTCGCATTCAAGGCCAGGTGCGGCGGTGGCTGAGACGTCGTCGCGGGCGGGAGAGTCGAGCGGCGGCTCGTGAGGCGCAGGCGAAAGAGCGAGTGCGACTGCTTCTCGTGCGGTTCATCCTGCGGTTCAAGCGCCGTCGACGCCACCGGCAACTGGAAGCAGACCGCGCGGTCCGCACAAAAGCCGCGCGGCTGATTCAGCGGTGCATATTGCAGTGGATCCAACTCCGAAAGTGGAAGTTGATGCGCATGGCCAGACGAAAACGAGAGCGCCAAGCGCGGCTGGCGCTCAAAGCCAAGCAAATGAACCGGTCTCAAGATAAGGTCAAGTTGCCGTTTCGAGCCGCCTCCACCGCGTGGAAGTTGGTCACGCGAACGCTGCGGGGCGACAAGAAAAGCCCGAAGGACGTCGCGGCCGTTTGCATCCAGCGGGCGTGGCGATGTGCAAAGAAGCGTCATCAGGTGTACCTGAAAACGCTATATGCCAAGCTGGACAAAGCCGCCGACAAGCGGCAGCAGATGCATCGCCACGTCACGCGCATCCAAAAGGTTTGGCGGGGTCGGCGTGACCGTCGAAAGTGCACATTTCTATGGCTGGACAAGGTGACTCGTCATGCTTTGGCCAAGTGGAAACGCCGTCGAGCTAGGCGCCGCAATGCTGCAGCCACAAAGATTCAGACCAAGGTAGGGGGTCAGGACTCCTTGACCAGCGACAGAACCATGGAATGATGGATGGATGGATGTGAGTAGTTTCGCGTCGTGCGGGCCAAAGTACTTGGACAAGCCGTCGAGCACTTGATACAATGCCAACACGCAGCCGCCAGGCGCATCCAGCGCCTTGTCCGGGGTCGACAAGCGGTGCTAAAGGTCGTAAAAATGATAAGTGATATATGTCACATGACCATGTTTTATGCGACAGGTGCAACGTCAACGAGATGCCCGTCGACAATGTGACGAGACGCTACGATTCTGCGTCGTGGCGCTCCAGCGCTGCATGAAGCTGCGCATGGATTTCTTGGCCATTCAGTCGCTTGAAGGCAACATGGGCGACCTAGTGGTACGCCATATATATATATATATATATGCCTTGTTATACGATTTTGATTTGTTGGGGGGTGGTTAGAAATACCCCGTTTGGTTGCAGGAGCAGCGTCGGTTCCACCGAAGCGACACGTCGTTCCCGATCTTCCAGATCTTGTTTGCCGATTACAGCGGTTTGAAGCGCGAGTTGTGGGCGGGCCAATCGGCCAAGGCGCTGGCGGCGCTGCGTCTGGATAGGTCCAAGTTCGTCAAGATCTTTCGGGAAGCATTTGCCACATCGGATCGTCTCATGGACATCACGTCCGAGGCCGATCGGGTGCTCGCCAAACTCAAAGCCCATCCGTCGCAGTCTCGGACGTCGCTTGCATTTGCCGACTTTGTGTTTGGCATCAAAGAAATGGCCAAGCTACAAATCAAGTCGAAAAAACCAATGGACGACGACGACGACATGAAGGTGCTCCAGTTGTTTTGGAAACACTTGGCCACGTGCAAATGGAGCAAAAAATCCAAAGGTCTTTCAATTTCACAATATTTGAACGATATATATATATATTTGGTATGAATAATAATATATTATAGCACCAGACGAAATGAAAGCATATACCGAGTCGTGGCTGAACGACCAAGCGCGATGCATTCAACAGATGGCGCGACGACAGCAGTACCAGCAACGAGGGTACATTCTCATGGACTTGAAGCGCAAAGAATGGCAGGTGGGCAAAACAACCTTCCACATTTGTTGATATTCATGAGCAATGGATGTATGTAGAACATGCGAGCGCACTCTGCCGCAAGAACCATCCAAAGCTTGTGGCGTACCAAAGCATCCCGTGCGTACATGCGCAAGTTGATGCAAACGGTGCAGTTTTACTGTTAATTCGTGGCTTTTTGTTACAATGTGTTGGTTGTTAGGTGTTTCGCAAGTACATTGACGCGACCAGCGGGTTGCCGTATTGGACAAACCCCAGAACGGGGTACTCTACGTGGAAGAAGCCATCTATCTTGGGCAAACACGACGTTGCCAGCCCCGCAGTTCCCATGGCGGACGACGCCACGGAATACGCCGTGCACTGCGATAACTGCAATGTCCGTAGTACTATGTGCTTGGTTCCAAAATTTCGTATTACTTTCCTCAAGTGTCCATTTCACTCGTGTTGATAGATCCATCCCATTCAAGAAATGTGCTTCCAGTGCGACGAAAAGTACTGCCTGGCGTGCTTTACGTTGCTGCATGCAAAGGGCAAGACGGCAACTCACCAGCATATTTCCATTCCGACCTGCGTGTCCTGTCACTACCAGGTCCCAAAACGTGATGACTGCTGTTTGGTCACAATTGGCCTACGATCAAGCACTACTTACGTACTAGGTGGCCACGCGGTACTGCTCGAATTGCAAGGAAAACTATTGCGACAATTGCATGTCATATTTACATGCCAAGGGCACGCTCGTTTACCACGTGTAAGTGTTGTCATGTGGGGGTACATAGTTTATGAAAAGTGAGGGATTAACTATATAGGGCGGCCCCTTTGATGCTGTTGTGCGTCGACTGTCTTGGCAAACGAGCGGCGCGCGTGCATTGCCATACTTGCAACAAGGACGTGTGCCACGCGTGCGCCCAATACCACCCGCCAGAATACTGTCATACCGAAGTACGATTGTTCCTTTTCATCTCCAAATGAGTGGATCGTATTGAAAGGTTTGGTTTGGTACATGTAGCCCCGGCCGTTTGAGAGTGCCCCCGTGGAGAACGAACGGAAGAGGTTGGACATGATCAAAACCAACGACCTGTTCGCCGAAGAGAAGCGAATTCAAGACGCCAAAGCGTTCGAAGCGCTTCAAATCAAGTGCGCCATGCGCATTCAGCGGGGCTGGCGTCGCAAAGTAAGTCACTTCCATAGCGAAAACATTGTATTATTAATGTACACGACTGGGATAGGTGCAGTGCAAGTCGGGGGTGATGCACATGTTGGAGCTACACAAAGCCCACCAATCCACGTGGGAAAAGATCCAACGAGATCGTCAGGTAACAAACCAAGTGTACAGTAGGCACCTTAACGCTTGATGTGATTGCAGAGAGAAAAGCAATTCGTGTATCGCGTCAAGGGGGTGTTTGGCAAGGCCGAAGTGCTGGAAATGGACAGTCCGACCCAAGCGATTCTGCGACGGTTGAACGTGTACCTGCGGCACAAGATCGAGGCCCGCGCCCGAGCGTTGCACGTTGCGTTGGACGAATACGTACACTTAGGCGTGCCCTTGCCTGGCGTGGCGTCCATCGCAGAGGTTCGTCCAGTCGGCTTTTGAATGGCATGAGTTCATGTGACACAGGGGAGCGACCACCTCGAGACGAGCGAAGATCTGCGCGGATGGCTGGTGCCCGCCCAAGCCCTTCGGTTCGTGTTTTGTCACACACCAAGTGACTAACTCTACGACGTTGTCGCAGGATCCAAGGCCATGTTGTATATGCACAAATGGTCGAGTCTATCGGAGAAACGTTCATTCGGCTCAGTGCGCCGTATGGCCACATGAGTGTCGACAAGAGCGTGCTGTACTCTGTCGAGTTTTCCCACGACCACCCGACAAAGCTCAAGCATGCTGCGTACGACGCACCCCCCCTGGATTACTCCTTGTGCGATAACGTTTGACGTGTAGGAGTTCACACGCGGTAAAAGTTCGCGACTTGAAGGAAAGCAAAGCAGTGACAGCGTCCCGTACGTTGCTTTTTTTCATGCAATGTGGTGTCAATCGTAATGTGTAGTGCGCAAGATCGGCAACGCGACGCAGTCGATGGCCCTTCGGTTCGACGAAGACTCGTTCCTGGGCAGAGCCCTCAATCGAACGGCCCAACACATCCAAAGGTCCCTCCAGCGGCAAAAGTTCAACCAGTCCAAGCGCGAACGAGAGATATCCTTGCTCAGTGTCCAGCGATCGTTCCGCGACCGGCAAATGTACTCGCTGCGACGAGAGCAGTCTCAGCGGTGGGACGAAAGTTCGACCCAGCGACCCGCATCCATTCGGCACGTGGGGTCCATACACAGTGCAATGCCAGGAACGTCCAACGAAGCCCCAATGCACTTGGACATGGCCATACCAAGTAACGGATCGGCCTCCATGGCTAATACAGCGTCCGTCAACCAACCGCCTGAGGAAGGGGGTGGCGATGAAGGGCTGAGTGCAAAGGTGGATTCACGAACGGCCAGGGTTGTGCGCATATATAGCGAGTCGTTGGCACCGATGGTGTCAGCGCTAGAGGCGACAGCAACTACACAAGTGCCGGTAGATGTAGACCTGACAATCAGCACGTCTCAAGGCCAATCGGCCATCGAGCTCCCGGCACCAAAAACAGTTGAATCCCCCTCAAGCTACGAGATTGAGCCCTCCCCAAGTGACACCGCAATGTCGTTCGTGGAACACAATGCTGATGTCTTGCCCTACGATAAGCCAACCACTAATGTCCAACTTGACACTACCGGTACTGGCTACAACCCCGCAACGACCGAATACGATAAAGAGGTTTCCGCATCAGCTCTAGACTATAGTGTCCCTGCTGACTATTACCCCCAACAAAGTTACACAAGTGCAGCAGAAGGTACACAACTACCCGACAATGTCTCGTACAGCTACGACCAACCAACTTACGATGCGCAAGCTTATGCCGACCAACCTACACATGACCCACAAGGGTCGAGTCAGGACTGGCAGCAGCACGTGGTACCCCCCCAGCAGCCCACGCAAGATGACTACCAACTCGGCTACGACGATTACTACTACGACCAGCAGAACTATGACCAGCAAGGCTACTACTACCAGCCAGAGATCGACCACAGTTACTACACCCAAGACTCCACTGCGTACGTTGAAGGCGCATACATAGCTCCAACCTACCCAAGCTACAGCCCCACTGCCTCCGTCCACACCTCGTACACCGAGCCAGTGGCTGCCACTGAAACCGAATGGCAAGAGGCGTACGATCCGTCGTCGGGCCAGGTGTACTACTACAACCCTCGCACGGGCGAGTCAGTGTGGCACCAGTAAAACTAAATCTACTTGATGTCCACACGGTTAAATTTATATTTACTTTCGGCCTCGCTTTTGCACCGACTTGCCGCGCGAGACCTTGCCCGGTCGCGATTTGGCGGCGGGGGGCTTGCCGCCTTTGCCTCGCTTACCCACGCCCTCGTTGTTGCGGCCGCGGCTAAACGACGAAAAGTCGTTGGTGCTCTTCTTGTCGTTCTTCTTGTGGCTGAGTTTGGTCTTGCCGCCCGAGCCAAACTTTTTGTTGTGCGCTTCGCGTTTGAAGTTTTTCTTGTCGCGGTTGTTGCGGTCGCCCGCCTTCTTGTCGTCGTTGCCTCGGGGGCGCTTGCTGCTGCTTCCCGCGCCTTCCAGCATCTGTTCAAAGCTCTCGTCGTCATCGACGCCGCCCACGGCGGACGCAGCGTTGGTGTTTTTTCGCTTCTTCCACTGCTTGACCGCGTCCAGCGTGTCGTTCTTCTCCTTCAGACGCTCCTTGACCTTTTGAGACTGCAACTCCTTGGCCACCTTCTTGTGTGCCTGAGACTTCTTGCGCTCCTCCACGGCGTTCATCTTCTTTTGCTCAAAGATCAGTTTGTCCTTTACGCGGGCCATGTGCGCGTCGCTCTTGAGCATCTCGGCAAAGTAGTCTTCCGGACGCTTGTACGGAATCTTCTCCTTAAGCAAGCGGTCCTTGGCATCTTTCACCGACGCCAGCGTCTGGTTGTAGAAGGCCACTTCGCGCTTCAAGTCGTCGTGCGCGTTCTCGAGCTCCAGCACGTGCGACGACGTGTCAAGCGTTTCCACCCACTTGAACTTGGCACTCAGGTCCAATTCCTTGGCCAGCTTGACCATCGCGTCTTTGTTGTAGATCGCGGTCGACGTGACCTTGGTCTTTTCCGCCTGCATTTCCGCGACCAAGCGGCGCTCGATCTCGTCTTCTTCGTCGTCCTCATCTTCATCGTCGTCGTCGTCGTCGTCGTGGTCCGCGTCCGGGCGCGCCGACATCACGGGCGTGTTGAGGATTTCCACTTCCGTGGCATCTTCAGCATTGACCAGCGACGACACACTGCGTCCGACCACCGCCAACTGGTCCTTCTTTGGGCCACCGCCGCGCTTGTTCCCTTTGGCCATGATGCTGTTCAATCCAATGTGGATTTTACCCGTGATACAAGTATGGCCGTGGCACCAACCATTCAAAACGCACCACCAAACGATGCACGGTTTTGAATGGTCACTTAATAGCCAATCGAAAACTCGTATTTCCCATCCTCCACCCAATCACAGAACGACGTTGCCCTTGGCTTTTATGTTGTGACCAACCGATATTAATTTTCGACGGTAAATAATCTGTGTTAAAACGTTTGCAAATCCAGCAGTTCGTCGGCATGGCGCGCCTCGATGCGTCGGATTTCATCTTCGCATTCGTCGATTTGCTCTTGCAATTTCTCACACAAACTCTCCAACTGGCTCTTCTCTACACACACACACACTCTTCACATTACCATTCCCACAAGTATAGTGATATATAAAGTATATCCATACCTTGCGTCAACTTTAGGGTCGTGGCGTTGGCCGCGTCTAGTTCCGCCCGTACATCTGCCAGTTTAACTTCGTACGACGCCTTCATGCTGTCCAGTTGCTTGTTGAGCTCATGCACGAGATCCCGTCTCAGCTGCATCTCTTGCTGGACGTAGTCGGCGTCCTTGGCTTGCAAATCGTCTTTTAACTGGTCCAGTTCATCTCGCAGCAGCGCCACGTCATGCTCCTACGCCTCTATCGTTCACATCCTACGAAGAATCATCTCTCGACGATCCTACCGTGAATCGTTTCTTGGCTCCCGGCGCTTTAGCTCGGCTATTTAGTGGATGATGGCCTGCTGTAGTGGTCGTTGACTTGTCCAGTGGTTTGCCGCTGCTTTCCCTCGTCGAGGGCACACGCTGGATGGAATTGCGGCTTCGAATCGACGGGCGCTCCTTGATCGTCGCCAGACCGTCGGCTTTTGCTGGGACGACTACATTCGTAGCTCCATCTTTCGACACCAGCAAACTCGGGTGTTTTCGCTTCTTGTGGCCATCCGTACCGTACTCCATCTTGACTTGCACGGGTCTAGTTATTATGTGTGTTTTAAGTGTTAATTCCGTCCATAATAGAGCTAAAACAACCGTCTCGACAGCAATGTGGTTTTCGATGGCGCCGTGACCACTTCCTTCGCTATTGCACTGTACTGCAACGTCCGCAGCGTCTCGTCAAACTCGTCTGTGGAAGGGTTCACGGCCACAATCATAATGATTCGGCCGGCTTGTTTGCTTACAAATGACGCTTGAAACAACTACGGGGGACCCACGTTCATAACAAACTCCATACATAGAATCGTGCAAAGTGCACAACGTCGTCGTCACACAGAGCCAGCCTCTTTGGGCCATTGTCGATATATTCGATATATTCGAGGGTTTGCCCAATCGAATGAGCACATCGATATATACGACCAATCAAAAACCACAACACGAATCAAGTAGCCAATCAAATCATCCACTCACATTCGACCAATGAAACATCCAACTAGTGCTTGACTTTAATTAGGGTGACGATCTTGACATACAAAAATCAATACAAAGAATCGATTGATAGATTTAACGAATAAAAATCCAAATATTGGGTAAAAGGACAATATATGTACATACGCGCGTGAGCTTGGACGATCGAAAGGGCACCGGACGCTCCGACTTTGGATGCAGTTGGTTGAACCGCAAAGTTTCCAGGCACCGATTCAAGTTCATGAGCGATCCGTTGATTTTGCTGGCTTCCTGCAGCCGCAGACCCGACGCGCCCGTCTTGGCGCCGCGTTCGCACCCCGCCAGATCCACAATGGAAATCTGTTCATGTTTTCCGTATATCAGTTAAAAGTTTAAGTTGAACCATGTCGCAGTTGGATTCGGTGATCGTGGTGTATAATAGACAAAGGTACGTACCTTGCTGAACAGCGTCGTGGGGTCGTCCTGGTGGTACAAGTGCAGGGAAAACACGCAATGGCTGCGGCTCGAGTCGGAATTGCACTTGGTTTCGCCCACCTGGCGATTCTTCTGGCCGGTCTCGAGCATCAGTTTGGCTTCTTCGTATGACTTGATCGGTCGCTCCTCCAGGTCCTTCACGTACACCCGTCCATCTTTCTCTAGAAGTTGCAGAAACACGCGGCTACGACGAAGGGTCGAATGAATTGACGGTGCACGGCTGCAGGACATGGGTACGGGCGGCGGCACTGTACCGTTGACCAGTGGCGAGCAAGTCGTACACCTTTTCGTTGTAAATCTCCACGTACGAAGCTGTGATGCGGAAGTTGTCGGCTTTCTTGAACAGTGTCACGAAGGTTTCTGGCAATATGCCGGGGTGTTCGGGTGTCCCTGGGGGATTTCATCAGTGTGATATCAACATATCGAAACAAACGTACCCAAAATCGTATAAGTCTTCCCAGAGTTGGTCACGCCATAGGCAAACACGAGCCCATTCTTGCCTTCTAACGCTTCTTCAATGATGGCGTACGTGGTTTGCTCGAACAGATCACGCTGTGTGGTTTCTGGCCTGAACACTTGGGAAAAGTGAAACGAGCTCACGGCTTCTGTCACGCGGCTGGTCTATTGAGAACGTTCATGCTCTCAACATGCCAGGTGCACGCACGCACTCATACCCTGGGTGGTTTAGCTACGAGGCAAGTGTCGGACACAATGCGGAAGGTGTCGGCGTCCTCCTCGCCCACAGGTGGCCGCAGGCGAACGTAGATCTATGTACCAGAATACATCAGCCACAAGGAGACATGGCCTCAATACAAGTACTTGAACTTTATCTCCAGGTTTGGACACCGGCAGCGCCGCGCTGTAGCTCAATTTCCGTTGGATGTCCTGCTCCTGTTGTGCCGCCGCCGCCGCCGACATCAAGCTCAAGATGCGTTTGAAATTTGAATCCTAAAGTTATCCGGTTGATTCGTGGGGTTATCCGGAACAACAGGTATCCGGAAGTGTACCCGATTTATCCGGGAATGCAATTTTGGCGCCGACTCCAAACCTTCGGCCCGCCATCATGGACGATGAAGAGTACGATGAATGGGAGCTTATGTACGGCAACGATTTGGAGGCGGAGAACGAGATGAATGCGATGGAGATGGAACTGTCTACTCCTACTGCCGCTCCTCCGCCCAAGTCAGCTCCAGTCCTGGCGGCCCCATCGTCGGCGACTGTGCCTGCAGTCGTAGTCGTGGCCGCCGACGAACCGCTCGAAATGAAGGTGGACGTCGAGTATAAACCTAACAACCTGGTCAAAGAAGTGAGAGATGAAGATCGCTACATCAGTCGCCGTCCATCGCTCGACACTCCGAGCATTGCTTGCGTTTTAGCGTCTGGGGAGCGTGTGTTCATTAAGAAGAAGGAGCACGAGTTTGCATTTGAGAAAGCCGCCACCAACAAACCAGTACAATGGAAGCTCGGGTCGTCCATCAAGACGCTCCTGGAGAGCATCAATCAGGTATACGTCCATATAATGGCACTATCATACTGATCGATTGCGTAGCGAGCGATCGAAGCCGTGGTGGAGGCCGATCGGAGGCGCGAAGAGAACCAAGGCGGCGAACATGCCGTCGAGGCAGTTAAAGAGTCCGATCTGTGGCTGAACAAGTACAGTCCTCGGCACTTCATCGACTTGCTGAGCGACGAGCGAACCAACCGGGAAGTGCTGACGTGGCTCAAATCGTGGGACCCCGTCGTGTTTCCATCTAAATCATCCAAAGCACCTTCCAAGGCCCTTCCCGACCAATTGAAACCGCCGAATGCTGATATTCGACCTGAACACAAGGTAACCCCATAAAAAACTACAACTCTGTCACAGAGAAGTACTCTAGATCATCCTCATCTGCGGACCGCCGGGGGCTGGGAAGACGACATTAGCCAGCATCGCCGCTCGACATGCCGGGTACAATCCCGTGGAAATCAACGCCAGCGACGATCGGTCGGCGGGGGTGCTCAAGGAAAAGGTACTAAAAAAATAATATTGCAAAAAGACCCCTCCTTATTCTCGTCATGTATTGATTAGTATGTTACTAGTATAAGAATATTTTTTTGACACGATGAAAATATATATATATTAAAAATATATTACTAGTATTTTTATATTGATACGGTGGCAACGTACAGATCATCAACGCCATGGAAATGCAAGCCATCTTTGGCAACAACCGGCCGAATTGCATCATTCTGGACGAGATTGACGGCGCCATGGGCGGACCCGACGGGAAGGGCGCCATCTCCGCGATCCAAGCGTTGATTGCGGCGCCATATTCGTCTCGTACAAAGCCTTCCAAGCAGCAACATGCAGCCGCCTCCAACAAGAAAGCGGCTGGAGGGCAGCATCCAGTGATCCGACCCATCATTTGCATCTGCAACGACCAGTTTGCACCGGTGCTGCGGCCCCTGCGCAGACTCGCCAAGATCTTTGTCATGCACACGCCCGACCCGAGGCAACTCATGCAGCGCATGAAGTTCATCTGCAAACAAGAAAACATCCGCGCATCCAACTCGCTTCTGTCCACTCTGTGTGATCGCGCAGACAACGACGTGCGGTTCTGCTTAAACGCGCTCCAATTCGCTAGCGCCAGGACGTCGGCGGCGCTGACAGTGTCCATGATCGACTCGATGATGGTATTTATCTTTCATTTACCCAACATTTGGTAGACTTTTGCTCTGAAATCGCCAATTCTTCGTACTGAGTATTTTGGTATCACACTAATTGAAGTCACACACTAATTTGCCTTTGTTGACGGTTTCCTGCAATGTGATTGGCTAAAACCTTCTGCCGATGATTCTTGTGTAATACATTTGGTTGTGTCGATGTTCATTCATTCTCCATACAATATAGTATGCTTCTTACATGTATATACAGAAATGTGTGACGACGTTGCTCAAGTCGGTTATGGGTAGGGGCGAAAAGATGTGTCCAAGGGAGCGTTTGACGTGTGGGATACAGTGTTCTTCGAGTCGAAAGAGCAGCAAAAAGACAAGTCGAACGCGTGCATGCGAGTATGTGACACGGCCGACCGGTTCGGCAGCCATGAGCTCATTCTCCACGGGTTGCACGACAACTTGCTGCCGCTAGTGTTCAACGACCCGACCTTGTACGACTTAGTATTAATTATATTCACTGTCGGATGGGTACATTGGTGTTGTTGATATAATTGATATTTCGTGTTTACCCCAACTGGGGCTTTTGTGCTCATTTGTTGCCAAATCTATCGATCGATTGTTTGACTTGTTTGACTTTTATATATACGTATCGTCCCCAATGTGTCACACTAATTTCGTTCACACTATTTCGATGTTTCATTGGTCGAATGTGAGTGGATCATTTGATTGGCTACTTGATTCGTTGTTGTGGGTTTCGATTGGTCAATATATCGATTGTGTGCCTTCGATATTTGGTTATTCTACTCATTCAATTGAGCAAGCACCCAAACACTCGAATATAACTCTTGACAATATCGCTAGGACAAAGATCAACCACGCCCTCGAGTGGATGGAGTTTGCCGACTTGTGTGACACCAAGGTGAAGAGCCACCAGCAGTTTGCGCTCTTGGCGTACTGCTCGATGGCGGCCGTGGCCGTGTACCGGGCGTGCTGTACAAGCAGTCGGCGCCGCATCGAGTACCCCAAGGCCCACTACGACGTAACGAAACACTTGAAACCACCCCGTTCGAGTAGTTGGTTGTGAATTGTATGCACCCTCTTGTAGCATCGAAAACACGTGGAAACAAGTCAAAGCATCATGGACGCGTTCGTGGGGTCGGGGGTGGCGCTGCGGCTGGGGCGCCGCGTGCTGGCGGTGGACGTCGTGTCGAGTGTGGTGGCGATGCTGAATCCCGTGCTTACGCCTTCGCAGGACAAGCAGCCCATGGACCAGCTCATTGCGCGCATGGCGTCGCTGCAGCTGTCGTACAAGCAGATTCAAATGCCAGGGGGGGTTGTCGAGTACCTGCTAGAGCCGTACGTCTCCCCTGTGTACAAGTGGATTCAATGATGTGGCAACTCTTTGTAGATCGCTGGACAGACTAGTGCAGTACAAGGCACTCGAGCCACGTGTTCGATTGCCATTGGGCGTCCGCCAAACCATGGCGAGGGAAGTAGACCTAGAAAACATGCGCCGAGCCGACAAGGGAAGTCGTTTACCCGATGACGTGGCAGCGCCAGACGTCGGTATCGTCGACGTTGACCTAGAGGACGCGGTCGCTGTGCCAGGTACGCATGTGTCGGTGGCAGGATATTACGACACTGGATGAACGTGAATATATATATATATATATATATATATATATATATATATATCGTTGACATGTGTGAAGATGCATCCAATCCATTTGGCCTCAAGAAACGAAAACGCGAAGCCCAATCCCATGCCAACGCCAAACGGTACTACTATCATCTATACTGGACACTCTACTGATGTTGATATTTGATTAGCTGGCCGGTGCGGTTCAAGTTTAACGAAGGCTTTACAAGCGGGATTAAGCGTCCAGTCCTCGTCCAAGATTTATTGTAGTAACTAGGTATTAATATACAATAGTAACAAATACAGTAAGGGCTGTATTTGTGCGATTTGTTACGCAACTCACAGTATACCAAAAATAGAAAAAGAGGAAACAAAAGAGGCAAATCGATTTTGATTGGCTCTTTCTATTTCTGAAAACTACTACTGTACGTACTACGGGTAGTGAACAGAACCGTAGTTCCGTGACAACTTCGTATGATTGGTAGAAAACAATCACTCTGAAATTTTCAACCAATCACCTGCAACTATGTTTCAACGAACAATATTAATTCTCCTCTGTTAAAGAAACACTAAGAGCATCTCCAACGGTAAATTCTAACTTATTGCTAAAGCATAGGTTAAAGTCAAACTTCGTTTTTACGGTTGTTATTTTGGCATTATCCGGATTATGTAGAAATTACGTCCTTCACTGTCAGAATTTCTATTTTCGCGTGAAATACCAGGTAGCAACAAACCCTCCGGATAGTATTCTATATCCGTAACTTCGAGTTGACAATAGAAATAAAAACACCGTCCAACGCGGGTAAGAACGTTATTCAATAGACCTCTTGTTCACTTACAAATTTCTTGATCAGTGATTGCCAATAATACTGTACATCAATATATATATAGAATTAAAATAAGTAAATGTGATAGGATTGGCTAAAATCGAACTAACGTTGTAAATGACGAAGAGATTGAACAAATGATCAAAGACTGCGTCATTGAAGAATAAACCGATTCAAAAACAATATGGCAACGCTATTCCACATTTACAACCTACATGACAATACTAGTATCCTACACAACTGAAAGTGAATATCTGCTGCGACTCTACACCAAATACCTACTCGGAGTAGCGCGTAGTGATAACTCACAATCACTTTTTTGAAGAAACTCATGGACTCCTTTGCTATCGTGTCGCGTCTCCAACAACAAGTCGGCGACGAAGTTCACGCATAGACCTCTTGTTGGATGAGATGAGCCAAGTCTACCACGCTCACTCCTAACATGTCGAGGAGGCCTATGACTCCCCCACTGGTCTCAGTGAGATTCGAACCCGGGGAATAGCCATTGCAGAATGCACGTTTTGTGTGTTGAGGTACAGGTTTCTTTAGAACCGAACAAGAATAGAATTTCGCGGTGGTGTCATCACCAGGGAGAACGTTCGTCCCTATACAGTAGCTACATCAACTGATGCAAATACTAGCCCCAAAAGTACATCTTTTGGTGGGCCTTTGATGATTCAAATGTTCCGTACTCTAAGTGAACAAGAGGTCTTTTATACGTACTACTAGTAGTATGGACCTCTTGTTCTGCTACCGTTTTGTGGTTTTCAAAATCATATTTTTTTTTTGTGATCGTTCAAATGATCAGTTCGGCAATCGACAACGAATTGATTCAATAACATAAATAATAATGAAATAAATGAGCACTTATACACGACTTAGTCAATGCCTTGATGGATGATCACTAACCACGTTCTGACTTGAAACTTCGTCACTGAACAAGAGGTCTATTAGACCTCTTGTTCAGTGACGAAGTTTCAAGTAATACTACGTAGTAGCAATTTGGGTCCCAAAAAGTGTCACGGAACCGTGCCCATACACGTATAACGTGAGTACTATTTTATTCACCTTGTGGTCGGGGGTCTTGTAACCGACACGACCCGAAGCGTTTCATCGACAGTTACATTTGCCATCGCCCCGTGCCACGCATTGAACGTCGTCGCGGGGGCATGGGCAAAGGGACTGGGGACTCTGTGGACAACACATTGCTGCCGTCAAAGCAGCAACTTCTCCAGAAACAATTCACAGGTGACTATAGCGTGTACGACAGCTGAGTTGACCCCATCGATACTGTGCAGACACATACCAAGAGATCCAAGCACTCAAGCAAGTGCTTAAGGTAACGTGTATCTTCATAAGGACACTATCGAACGGCAGACAAATTTGAAATCCAGGGCTATCTCCACAAGGAAGACAATAATACAGCGTCGAGCGCGGACGTGTCGTCGTCTGAAGCTGTAGCATGCAACCCCTGTCCCCATGAAAAATCGGCCGGTCAGTTCAAGTTCAAACCGAGCAAAACGTCGGAGAGAATCTTGGCCCAGAGCCAGCAGGGTAAAGTGCCGTTTCTCGAGCGCGTCAAGTTGCAGGCACACAAGCACGAGCAGACGGCAAAGTCGCTCAAGGAGCAAGTGCTGGCAGTCGAAGACGTACAAATGACGTTTACCCCGTCTATTAATCCCGTACGTTCAATCAACATCCCCAAACAGAACAATCGTGTCAACGTGTGGTGGTTGGGGACAACGTAGAAATCGAAGCGCATGGAGCGACGAATAGACCACTTGTGGTCGTGGGAGCGAGACAAGCAGGTCAAAGTCGAAGCCCGGAGGATAGCAGCGGTGCAAGACGAGCTCGCGCAAGTCACGCCCGTCCCAGTGTGCAGCGCCAAGTCCAACCAAATGCTCCAACGCTGTTCGAGTTACACCAAGCATTCTGCCGCACGACCGATCAAGGTCGAAGACAGGTAGATCTCGCGTCATCTCGAGAACGATGAAATGCTGAACGTTGAGTAGGCTGCAGAGGTATGGGGCGACGATCTCGGCCAAGAAAAAGGCGAGGCGGCGAGAGCCCCCTTGTCCGTTTCAGCCCACGCTGTCGTGCCATTCGGCCAGACTCCAGCGCGACGGCGACGTCCACACCCGGCTTTTCAACCTCGCTGCAAAGGAACCTCCTCCCCAGCCCTCCATCACGGCTATGCCGCATCGACGACCGCCCCCCACTACCCCCCTGGACGCGCACACAGCCCAGCTGTGCACTCGATTGCACGAAGAAGCCACCGTGAACCAGGAAAAACTGAAACACATTCGCGCCGCAGAAGCACGAGACTTGGATATGCTCAGGGTAATCATCTTACATATGAGCCGCGCAATTCAACATACTGATAATGTCTTTGTTCTGTGGTTAGAACACCCCTAAAATCAGCGCCACGAGCTTGAAGCTGGCACGTCAACACCACACGAGCGGTCGGAAGGCACCAACCAGTCCCCCCCCGCCCCCCCCCAAACAGCCAGTGCGAACGATGCCCCTCAAGGAAGCCGAGCAGGTTTACCTCAAACAAGTGCAGTGGAAAGTGCAAAAGGAAGCCAAAGCGACCCAAGAGCGCGAGGCCCAACAGCAGCACCAGATTGCCCAATGCACGTTTTCCAACCCGTATCGAACCGAGGACGAGGAACAGTGTCCAGTGAAACCACAACCCAACGACACGTACTTTCGAAAGGCCATGGACTGGGAGCGACGACGGCAGCAACTCGTGGCCGAAAAGCAGCAACGCCTGTTGTTAGATGCATTGAAAGAATGCACATTTCACCCCCATACAAACCCAAGCCCCCAAGACCAGCAACGAGAGGCGAAACGGTCAACGCTCGAGTCGATGCTGTCCATGTTTCGACATGTACGTATGCAGCCAACATGATGATTGTAGCTGACTTGAAACATTGCGTAGGAACAAGACGAGAATTGCCTACGAACGCCCCCTAAACAAGTGACAGACGAGCCGACCTGCACCCAAACCCTGGGAGGCGTTCCCAGGTACACACCATATCCTCATCCTATGTAGTTCAAACTATACTCCATTTATTACTATGATGATTCTATGAACGATGTAGTCGAAACAGTTTGCGCATTTCAGCGGGCGACGATGCGCGGATATTGCCGCCTCCGTGGGAAGAATATGTGACTGAAGATGGCTTTCTGTACTACGTCAACACGTTGACGCGGGCGTCGCAATGGGACTTTCCGTAATAATAATATAATAAAAAACAGAAAAGAAATATTGCGATAGTTTTACACATCGAAAAAACTGCAACTTCCAAGCGTTTACTCCGGAGTATATGCTACCACCATATATATGGCGGCAAAGTTGCCGATATAAAACAGATCTCGGAACAAGTTAGACCACCCTGGGCGCGACCGTGTTGAGTCCAAGCCCACGAATGGTCTGGAGGAACGTGGTTTCAAACGGCATGAGCTGCACTTCCGTCTGCTTGAGCGACAGAACTTGCGACATGACGTCAATGTACTTGAGCGCGAGGAGGTACCGCAACGGGTTCTCGCCACTTCGGGACACGACTTTGGAAATCTACAATCGTTCCGTTACATATTCCGTAGCCAAATTTGAGCTTAGCACGTACTTCCTTGATGCTGCGCGCTTCGGCGGTGGCGGCATTCACAATCGCCTGAGCTTCCCCACGTGCTACATACAGTTTGCAGGCAAAGTCAATGGCGACAGGATGGGACGCGACGTACCACGCGAAAGGGTCTGCTGGGCTTCTCCCTCGGACTCCTTGATCATGCGATCGCGGTTCCCTTCCGAGTTGATGACTGTCGTTTGCTTCATGGCCTTGGCTTGGATGATAATCTACAAATATTACACGTAAGATGTATGACGAATGCATTGCCGTTGAAATGATATGAGGAGGGGACTAGGTACCTCCTTGTTGTTCAAATCGGCCTGCTTCTTCTTCGCCAGAACTTGGCTCAACGCACCCGCGTCCACGCGTTGGATCTTCACCATGGCGATCTTCACGCCGTACTGCACGGCGGCGGCGTCCATCAGGCCCGACACGCGGTCCATCTGGGCGGTGTCTTCGATGATTTGATCCACGTCCAACGACCCCGCGACGTTGCGGACCTGCGCTTGCAGCAGCACGCTCAGCAGATGCGGGAGGTTCTTGACCGTGTAGATGTACGTCTTGGGGCTGGTGATCGAGTACTGCAGCACGGCGTCGAGGAAGATGGCGGCGTTGTCGCGCGTGATCACAGGTTGCTTGGGGAAATCCAGAACTTCGTTCTGCGTCGAGATGGTCAAGATCTTGGGTTTGTCCACCAACGTCAAGCGATCGGCCACGTTGACAACGTACTTTTGCGTATGTTCGCGCGGCTGGTCCACGAACGGAATGATAAAGTGACACCCCGGCGACAACACGGTCTTGAACCGCCCAAAGCGCTCGATCACCATCACTTCCTTCTCCTTGATGATGCGAATGCCTTTCAATGCCGTGACGATCACGAAGACCACTACGGCTGCGGCCACAATGAGGCCCACTGTGCGCGAGTCAACCATGCCGCTCTCTCGGTCTTGTTGTGCTTTGCTTGTTGTGTCTTTGCTTCGTATGTGGAACTTTTACCTTGCGATTGGTTATGGCATACAATATCCAAGATGCAAAAAGTGTAGGTCCATCCAAGGCTCTTGGGAACCCCTGGGAATTGTTTATTTCATGGATTCTCGCATTTGAGTGAAACCTAGCGAGTAATTGCCAAATAATGGCCAAATTTGCTACAGAATCCAACCCAAATTGGGTAATTCTGACCCAGATATTCCCAATCTTTTAAATAAAATCACTGAAATTTATCACCAGTGCAACTATGGTGGGATATTCCGCTAGAAACACTATACGTAAAGTGATTCCGTGAAATTTGTGGGTGGCCAAGCGCGAGCTCATGTCAACGGAACTTGCCCTCACAAGCGCGGTGGACGACGCGATTGCTCGCGAAAAGATCACATGGAGCGTGCATCGATCAAGGGAACTATTCGCGGGGGAGCCGCCGAGCTTTGAGACTCACGAAGACAGCCAAAAGACGCACATCCAGGTGAAATTCCGCGCACGATATGCTGATCTTCCCGACATCCAACCGAGCCAGTTGAAGAAATCCAAGTTGGACACCGTGGCACCCGTTCCTGTGATCAGTCCCTTGGATAATACACCGGCAGCAGAGGACGACGAGGATGGTGTCGTGGAAGGGCATGCCACAGCCGAACCAGTGGACACGTTGCCAAGTGCTGTGGAGAACGCCGTGGCCCAATTCTCCAAGCAACAGGAAGCTGCCGCTGCAGCTTCCAACACAAGTCAACAAGCCTTGGTCGAATACAAGAAGGAAACCACATTCAAGGCCCAATTCAGCGCCGCGTCAGCGTTGGTCCGTCGCCGCCAAGCCGCCGAGGTGCCGAAACCGACGTGGCACGCGCCGTGGAAGCTCAAGCGCGTGATTGCCGGGCATTTGGGTTGGGTGCGCTCCATCGCCGTGGATCCTACGAACCAATGGTTCGTCACGGGATCGGCCGACCGCACCATCAAGGTATGGGACCTGGCGAGCGGCCAGCTTAAGTTGACGCTGACGGGGCACATCAACGCCATCCGCGGCCTGGCTGTAAGTGACCGGCACCCGTACATGTTTTCCGCGTCGGAGGACAAGAAGGTGCTGTGCTGGGACTTGGAGTACAACAAGGTGATCCGCAGCTACCACGGGCATTTGAGCGGTGTGTTCAGCTTGAAGCTGCATCCGACGCTGGACGTGCTCATCACGGGTGGACGCGATGCCGTGGCTCGGGTGTGGGATATGCGGACCAAGCAGCAGGTGCACGTGCTGTCGGGGCACCAAGGCAGCGTATGGGCCATCGAGACCCAGGGCACCAACCCCCAGGTGGTCACGGGCGCCGCGGATAGCACGGTCAAGCTGTGGGACCTCGCCGCCGGCAAGGTGATGACGACATTGACCAACCACAAAAAGGGCGTGCGGGCCATGGTGGCGTCGCGTACAGACCACACGTTCTTGACCGGGGCGGCCGACAATTTGAAGAAATGGCAGCTCAAGGACGGCAAGTTTCTGCGCAACTTTTCGGGCCACAACGCGATTGTGAATGCCGTGTCGGTGAACCAAGACAATGTGTTGGTGTCGAGTGCTGACAACGGATCCATGCGCTTCTGGGACTACTCGACTGGGTACTGCTTCCACCAAGAAGAAACCATCGTCCAGCCTGGGTCCCTGGACAGCGAAGCCGGCATCTACGCGTCGACGTTCGACATGACCGGCCTGCGCCTCATCACCGCCGAAGCTGACAAAACGATCAAAGTGTGGGAGGAGAATCCGGACGCGACCCCCGAGACCCACCCCATCGACATGGTCAAATGGACCAAGGAATTCACGGCCCCCAAGCGCTATTAATATATCAATATCGTCGACAAATATACAGTAACTTGCATACCCGGTATGTTTGATGTAAGAAATATCAAATGTACTTGAACGGTACTGTTTGTTTTGCGTAAAGTTGAAGAGTTAAACCTATCGTTATTGAAGGTTTAATGTCCTGTTTTCATACCAACTTTGGGAGTATAACCCGTTTAAACAATGACGTTTAATACATGAAGTTCAAGCGACAACTCACGTGAATAATACCATACGTCAAGTATTCCACATTTGAGTTCGACCATCATGACAGCATCCTCGTACCGCCTCCGCGTCCGCAACGCCAAGCAACTGGTGCAAGTGTGCAGCAACAACGAACGAGCCAAGCGTGGCGCGGAACAAGGCAATGTCGCGATCATTGAGGACGGAGCGCTGGTCGTGGATGCGCATGGCAAGTTTGCCGTCGTCGGCACCACCGCCCAAGTTGACGCGTGGGTACAAGCACAACCGCAGCCCGTGACGTTTGAACGGGACTTCGACGCGTCGGGTCTGTGCATCCTTCCTGGTCTTGTGGATGGCCATACGCATCCCGTGTGGAGCGGCAGCCGCGTGGACGAGTTCGCGCTCAAGCTGGCCGGCGCCACGTACATGGAGGTTCACGCCATGGGTGGCGGCATCAACAGCACGGTGCGGTCGACTCGGGCGTCGTCGGAAGCGGAGTTGTTCGGGCTTCTTAAGAAGCGTTTGGATCGCATGCTCAAGTGCGGTACCACCGTCGTGGAAGCCAAGAGCGGCTACGGCCTGGACACGGACACGGAGCTGAAAATGCTGCGGGTGTTGGAAACCGCATCGAAGTCCCATCCGATCGACTTGGTGGCCACATACCTCGGCGGCCATTCCGTGCCCGACGGCATGACCGCTGCCGAAGCCACGCTGGACATTGTCCAGAACCAAATCCCCGCGCTCCTCCGCGCGCAAGCCGCCGGTGAAATCAACCCCACCTTCATGTACGCTTCCCCTCCAACATTTGAAGATTATGATGGCTGTGGTGAAGCTCATGTGAATATGCTGTAGCGACGTGTTTTGCGAGAAGGGAGTGTTCGAGTACGACGACACCAAGACGATCCTGCAAGCGGGCAAGGACGCGGGGCTCAAAATCAACTTCCACGGCGACGAACTCAACCCGATGGACTCGGGCAAGTTGTGCAACTGCCTCCAGGCTCACGCGGCGTCCCATCTGGAGATGCTGGACTCGGCCAACATCCAAGCGATGGCCGACGCCGCCACCTTCGCGGTGCTGCTGCCCACGACCATGTACATTTTGAAGCTCCCGAGCCCCCCCGCACGCGAACTCATCGAAAACAACGTGGCGGTGGCGCTGGGCTCCGACTACAACCCGAACGCGCACTGCCTGTCGATGCCGCTCACCATGCACATGGCGTGCTGCCTCATGAAGATGACGATGAAGGAGGCACTCGTGGGCGCCACCATCAACGCCGCCGCGTCCGTCGACCGCGCAGACACCCACGGCAGCATCGAAGTCGGCAAGCACGCCGATCTGCTCGTGCTCGATGCCCCGCAGTGGGAGCATTTGATCTACGAAATGGCCGACCCGCCCATCCAACACGTGGTCAAGAACGGCCGGTTCGTTGTGTCCAATGGCCAATTGCTGGCTTAATACAACTGTCATAAAATCAAGGCGTAGTAGGATTAAGATAGGATTGAGTGGGAGTACACATTCATGGTCTACTGCCGCCACTCGGTCGTTGCATCTTGGTGGCCTCGGGAAGCATGATAAAGTGCCGATGATGCTGCTGCCAAGAAGGCGGCAGCCATCGAAACCATTCCGCCGGTAGCGACGTATCTGTGGCTTGTTGGCGCGTGAGCAATGGAGGCGTCCGCGGTGGAGCGCCGAGGACGGACGGGGGGAGTGTGTCTGTCATGGAGGAACGTAGCCAAGTGACCAATGCATTGGTGGTGTATCTGTACCTGATCAGCCGTTTCATCAGTTGACTAATCCAACGTCAAGACAGATAATATCCGGATGTGGGTACTTTTCACTTTTGTGAAATGGACACATTTGGAACTGCCACGTCATGATGCTGCAAACTCGACGGGGATGGTACTGTACAGTAGTAATACGGAGTACCAGACAGAGACCAAAGCCCATGACGAATGGGTGTGCCAGTGATAGCTAAACTAGTACTAATTACTAGTAGTACTTACTAGGAACACCAGGCGTCTACGTACAGATAGATAGATCATGGGATAACCTGGACAACCTATCCACAAATGTACTATAGTACTAATAGTATAATAAAAGACTATTTCATCGTTATGTTTTGTATCGGGAGGCAGGGTCGACGTTGAAGCTCCGGATGTTTGCCCGAAGTCGGAGCCCGGTGCACGCTTTGTAATGCTTGTCGTGGTCTGCCAGGAGCGTCTGGTCGTCTGCTTTGTCCAGTCGCGCGACGGCAAACGCCGTGTCGAGGGCGCTGAGGAACCCCCGGTTGATTCCCAGTCCCTGGGGCCAAAATGGCTCAAGCAGCGCATCGCCCACGAGCGCCACCAACAGTTTGCTCTTGGCGTGATGATGCAGCACCACTGCCGCCTACACATTTCCAACAATAACGACAACTCTCAACCGTGGGAAGACGGACCTTTTCGGCGCGACGGGTCTGGCTAAAGTCAAACAGTTGCGCGTCCAGCTGATCGTCGTCGGGTGCGGGAATTTGCAGAAACGCGAGCACCTTTCGCACGTACAGCTGCAGGGCGTCGCTGTTGACCGAGTCCAGTTCCTTGGTCTCCAGCACCCCCGCGTCAATCAAACTGGCCTTTTTGGGCGTCATGACAACGTAGTGCACTTCGTCTCTGTAGTACACGACGTTCTCCACATCCACGCCAAGGTCCGCCTTGAGTGCGGCAAACATGTCCTGGTTGTACTGCTTGGCCCATGAAAACTGGCGAAGTGTCACCTCGGCCCTACAACTGAATGAGTGGTTGTCATACGAGTTGGTGTGGGTACTTGGTGCGTCGATTGGGAAAGATCACCACGGCCCCCACAGCCGGACTCGGGGAAAATGACTTGCGCCCAATATCGACCAAGTGCCCGATCGTGTCGCGGTTGCCGCCGGCCCCCACCAGCGCACTCACGCGCCGGCACGGGTCCGGAAGCGGGGGGTTCGTGCGGATCACGTATCCGTCGCCGTCCTCGTCGATCGCTTCGAACGATGTCTGGTCAAACACTACCCCATATTCGTCAGCTCATGACTAGGGAAGAAAAACAACCTAACTAGCTGTGCAATCTTACCTGTGACCCCTACCATCAACGCCACTTTGAGCAAAATGCATTGCAATTGACGAGTCCCAATATGCAAATGTGACGACGACATGCAAAACTACACTAGCAACCTTTAGTATCATATGAATTCGAAGTCATATATATTGGTACCCGACGATAAAAGACCTTGGCGCCAAGCTTGGTGAGGTCGTGGACCACCCATGGAAAGAGATGCAAAATATTTTCACGATTGAAATTCGCTCGCTTTTCAACGACAATGGCATCTCCGCCCAGAAGCGCCACTTCAATCGCAGTCCGCAAGCCCACTGGTCCCCCTCCGACAATCAGCACACGCTACAAAACCACAATTCGAAACATCATTCTCAATAAATATAAGTCAAATTGATTGAAATATATAGTACTAGTACACCACGACCGATAAATAACTAAACTACATTACCAAGGACAAGTTCTAAAGGAACCCAAATGAACGACTGATTGAAATACGGTCAACGTACTCTAGATCGTGCGGGGTGTTGGGCATAAAAAGGCGTTTCTTGTCGCTTTTCGTCGAGAATGTCAAAGATACGCACGTGGAGAAACGAAAGCGATGGCAGCAAATGGCTCTACAAACGTTAGGACTATATATATATATATATATTTGTACGACTGTTGTACTAGTATGGGTTTTTTTTTCACCTTCAAATGCGAATACACGTTCGTGTGATGGACCGTAGACCGATTAACGTTGAATTTTTGCCACGCCAAGAGGATTTCAGGCATGTTCTACGGATCATCCGGTTAGAATGATCGCGACTATTTAGGTGTTACCTGCGCAGTCTCAAACGCAGCAAAGGCCTCGGTGGCCTCGCCGGGCGTCAGGGGCGGCCACGTGTCCGTCCCGTCGTCGAGTGGCGGTGGCATGCTAAAGAACTGGCAATCATCCAATCCTCTGGACGCAGCAACTGGCTCGGACGACACCATCGACCGGTTCAGTTTCTTTGGCTTCTGGTAGCCTTTGACCTCAAACAGCGGCGCATGCAAGTCGTCGTCGGGCTTAAGGTCGCCCTCTGGACCAGTCGACGGCAGTTTCCCACGTTGTCGGCGAAGGTACGACGCTTTCGGTGACAGTGACGTGTCCAGCGTCGAGTAGTCTAGTAAAAATGTCTTAAGATATATATATATATATATATATATATATATATATATGTCAGTAGTAGTTAGTACCAGACAGTCCGCAGAGCACTTCAAAGCAACTGTGCAGGTCGTTCGCACACGCGTCAAACATTTGGTCGATGGTATCTGCGACAATGTCTGGAAACAGGTCAGCCAGCACTTGCTTGGGGTTGTCTGGGGGGTTTGGAAACACTTGCGGCAGCACCGTTTTGCGGAACGCTCGAATCTTCATCGCTTGCTCCACCTACAATTTTTGTAGCATCCAAGTGATTCTTCGTGCCATGTCAGCCATTGAAATCACACACATGCTGAATGGACACAAAGTTGTAGGCCTTTTCAGCGTCCGCCACCATCGACAGCCGCGCCTTGTCGAACGATTTCACGGCGGCGCCCAAGAACTGGGGGATGTGACGCACGGCCATCGCGGCTTTGGCATCTGCTAACGCGGCCAACAACTGGCGGGCGTTTGAAAGGTCGTCGTCCGCGTACGTGGCACACGCTCGTTTGATCGAGTCGAGGCATAGCACTATGGCCGCCTTGACACTGCCGATGGTGTTGTCTCCTGTTCGAAAGCAGTGAGTAAATTGACGATGGATTTACTCTATGGCACACGTACCGGGTTGGAGTGTAGTTGTAGTACTGGAAGGATCGACGGGGGGCGAGATGGGGGATGAACAATCCGCCGAGGCGTTGGCTATGCAAAACACGACACCGTTTGCAGTCAACTTGGCAACCACTTCACATGAGTGTGAAGTATGTGGTGGTCGGATGTACCTGACGCGTCGACTGAGGGGATGCCATGGACTTGGACTAACGATTCTGGCTGGGGTCTGGCCACTTGAAATTCGTCCGACGGCAGGTTCAGTTGTTCAGGGTCCAAGGGATTTTCGTGGGGGATGTCGCTTGGCGGACTGATGCATTCCCGGGCCATCCGTTTCGGGGACTCGAACGGCTCCTCGTTGGGCGGTTGACCAATCAGCGTCGCCGTATCGTCCGGCGACTCCGCTTTGCCCGCCACAAACGACTGAGAGAGGCGAACTTGCACTTCATTTGGAGGCACTTGAGTCAGAAACATGCCCAGTTTCGACGCGGATTTTCGTGCCATGCCCACGTTGGCTTTCTTTTCCACTTGGACTGAATGTGATGGAGACGCTGGTCGCTTCAGCGGAGGAGGAAGTGACGCTGATGTAGAGTCCATGTCGTCATGGTGGCCCCTGGTTCGATGTGAGTTCCAAATGCCTGCCCAACTGAACGGGTCGTCGTCATTAGTGGTCAACAGGCGAGGCATGGTCTACGAACATATGAGTTTACTCTCCTTGACAAGGGCATACCGCAAGGAACTCTGATAAGAACACAAAGCCATCGCCTGTCTTGTCCATCTCAGCAACTAACTGCCACGCCGCCATGAGTGGAAGTCTTCGTGTGGCCTTGGAAAGATCGTCCACACACAAGAACCCATCGTGGTTTTCTACAGTAGCCTGTTATGGTCCCGTTGGTTTGAGCTAGACGTACTGTCCAAGCGCTCAAACAGTGCGCGGAGTTCGGCGTCCATTCGTCGTCGTTGTCGGAAAAAATGCGACGGGACTTTTGAACCTTGTCGTTTACAGTTAAAAGGCGAAAGATACCGGCGGTATCGAATTCTGCACTAGAAATTTGTATGGCCTTGGAAATGATTGTATGGCCTTGGAAATGATTGACAATCACTCAGTCCATTGGTCTAGGACAACCATCCTATAGCCAATCAAATGGAGTTGATGGATATTTATAACCAATCATCAATTAGGTCGTCCAAATAACCAAAAGCATTTGCTATAATTCTGAACACTGGAACGATTTATAACAACATGGGACCGTTCCAGCATCGACAGGCTAGTCGTGCGCTGTGGCGACGGATTGAGCCATGGACGAGGTGTCAAGTGCGCCAATTGGCGACTGAATCAACACGCTCCACGAAGGCATTGGTGTCCGACTTCATGGACAAGTACCAGTCTGCATCGTCCACGGTGTCGTTAATCCACCAAGTGCTGGCAACCCCGCAGCACGCGGCTGACCTGCTGCGACTGCGACATGCTACGAGTCATGCTTCGTTGTGGGACGACCCAGTGCAAGCTGCTAGTCTCTTGCAGCAGCTGAGCGTGTTGGAGAAACGAGATACGGTGGCGACCCAATTGACCCAGACACTCGACGACACCAAGGAATTGTTTGGTACGTACCTCATCCGTCTGCCGACCACGGATGCTCAACTGGATATTAGACATGGCCATGGACGAGAATGACGTGAGCGTACTTGACGACTGCGTGGCGACGGTAGACGACGCCGAGGTCACGGCCAAGAACCTTCGGGCGGCGCTGCTCTTGTCCGAACCCACAGACCCGTCGTCGTGTTTTGTGGAGATTCATGCTGGAGCGGGTACATGGCGTCCATCATTCGAGAGATTCCATTAAATGTAGTGTTCTTGTTACATTCCAGGTGGGACAGAGAGCGGCGATTGGGTGGAAATGCTCTTGCGCATGTACACGAGATGGGCGGAAGCGCATCCAGATGGGTATCGAGGTTCGTGTATCGAGGTATTGTTCGTGTAACGAAGTGGTCCTTTGGGTCTGGCGTAGCGGAGGTGGTGCACGCCGTGCTTGGCGAAGAGGCTGGCTATCGCTCAGTGTGTGTCCGGATTGATGGTTTGTACCACTCCTGACGTGGCCCAACCACATGATGCTGACATTGGTGGCGCAGGGAGCTACGCCTATGGGTGGCTCAAGACCGAAGGTGGAGTCCACCGTCTCGTGCGCATTTCACCGTTCGACAGCCAGGTGAAAATACGACCAAATATATCCTTGGTTGTTTACACTTGTCGATTTAACTTCAACTCTCCACTACGTACTCATGGTTTACCACTGATGCCACGTGAATTAGTCACGACGTCACACTTCGTTTGCCCAAGTTCGGGTGTTTCCGCTGGCAGCACGTGGTATATCTCGAACGAACAACCTCCATCCAATCTCAACGGGTTTCAAAATGTGTGGACAGGAGACACCAAGGTCGTAGCGCCTGAGATTTCGACCAAACACTTGCGCATCGACACGTTTCGAGCGTCTGGGCCTGGTGGACAGGTACGTACTGTACACTTCCACCCCTTGGGATGACTCAACATGACATGGTGGTGCTTTAGCATGTGAATAAAACGGAGAGCGCGATCCGCATCACGCACTTGCCCACCAATATCGTCGTGCAGTGTCAGTCAGATCGGTCGCAGCACCGCAATAAGGACACGGCCATGGACATGCTTCGGGCGCGATTGCTTCAACTGGCGCTCTTGGAACAGTATTTATATATATATTATATATATATATATCTAGAAGGAGATTGCTCAGTCGGAGAAAAGGGACGTCGAAAAGAAAAAGTATACCCAAGGCTTGGGCGACAATGCGTGGGGAAGCCAGGTGTGTGAGCCCAGCCAAAACAACTAAACATGATGATGGCTGCTGATTATATTGTGCCTAGATCCGATCGTATGTGCTGCACCCGTACAAGGTATGCCGAGCTATATATTAATATAATTCAACCCCGAAATCACTCAATTCTACCTTGGTAGATGGTGAAAGATCACCGAACCAACATGACATGTGCGAATGCCAAAGGTGTCCTTGATGGCGATATCTCCCCGTAATGGCCTTTGCATCTCTTTTGCGAACTCTAAGCGAACGCGGACGGGTTATGTAGGTTCATCCAACAAGTCCTCGTAGCCTCGGCGTCGATTAAGCCCCCTACCTAACATGCAATCGAGAGCTGTGCAACCTATACGTATACCTACTGTACCGTACTACCCTTGGCTACCACTGCTTCATCTTAATACTAAGTACAATAGTAATAATACCTTCATACTATATGCAATGAGTTTTCCAATACTACGCAAAGTTGGGGGAACTTGACGTTATTCAAATCGAGGGTTTTCATTGGTCGAAATTCAAAGATTCGCTGTTTGGGATTGTGGGACAAAACAACATCATCATGCAGCATGGTCCCAACTTTTTGTGGCCGTTCGCGCCGCGGCTGGACTGGTGGTGGCTGTACCTGTCCGTAGCGGTGTCCTTGGCACTCGTGTACGATCAGCTCGCGCTTCCATCGCCGCGTTCGTTGAGGACGCTCGTCGACGACTTCTGGTGGCTGAACGTGCCGTTGCTCGCCATCGCAGGTCTCGTCTGCCTCAACATAAGCATCCGTCGCCTTGTGTACTTCTTTAGCAAGCCCTCGTTCCGAGAGGGTCCGTACGTCCTTGGGCGTCACCAATGGCGCGCCAGCACCCGCGCTGGGTACGACCATCACGTCCTTTTCGTTCGTCTTCTTTCACGAGGAATCATCTCTCCAAATGCGATGCTAGACCTCTGTGGTGCAACGTGTGCGAGTCGCTCGTGATTGGCATCCGCAGCTACGTGGTGAATTGCGACATTTGCGGCATCACCGCCCACGGCCCGTGCGCCTTGCGGCACATGCGCGCAAGCACCAAGCAGAAATGTGCGTGCAAACTGGCGGCGATTCCCGCCACCTGCGACGACGCGACGTTGGCGTCATACAATGCACACGTGTGGGTCAAAGGCAACATCGACCCGTTGGACACGTGCGACTTGTGCGGGTTGTTCTGCGGCAACATCCTCGCGCTGTCCGCCATGCAGTGCATCTGGTGCCACCGCCGCGTACACGAATCATGCTTTGAGGCGAGTGGCGTCGGGCAGGGCGCGTGTGATTATGGCCCGCACCGCCAGTTGGTGCTGCCGCCCACGTCCATCCGCATCAACAGCAGCTCCCAGCCACCCATTCCATCGACCAACGCGCTGTCCACGGTTAAGAACGCCGTCAAACACATCAAGATCACATCGCTTCGGAAGCGAACCAACTCCATCACCCTCGTCACAGAGTACGCCACTGCGTTGCACTGAATATATCATATCTGTTAGCTGGATATATATCGTTTTGTTTGGATATATCATTTTATTCGATGCTCAAGCTGTTGGTAGGGACGGATCCACGCAAACGATGGCCATCCAGCGAAATCAAACGCTGCAACAGTCCGAGCCAGTGCCGTTGTACGTGTATTCGCCAGTGATCTAGTAGTAGTAGCAGTAGTACTAGTAGTAGTTATAGAAGTTATCAAGTGGTAGGCGGGGCTAGCCTCTAATTACTGTGATGGGTAGGTTGGCGGAAGGCTGTGATGCCGACCAACTACCTTACACGATTGAGCCGCGGCCAGGCTCGACGCCTCTCTTGGGTAGTTCACCCCCCACCTTCAAATAGTGTGTGTGTTGATGGAATTGGTATTTAGTGTTTATAAACAGTCGAAGCGGTGGTCAAATGGGGGTGTACATGCTCCAGCAACTGCGGCGGTGGCTCAATCCTCTGCAGGTTGTTGTCCCTATATATAACGAATTTCCTCGTCACGATTGTAGTCAGATCTACGACTTGTCCCTCCAAGGCCCCGAAGCCGCCCTGGCGCAGTACTGCAACGTCCCCGGCCTTCGCATTTTGGTGTGCGGCGGCGATGGGTCTGTGGGATGGGTATGTCGGCGGCCTCATGTCGCGAATAAGGTGAATACATGCTGCCATTAGGTGTTGGGAGCGATAGACAACTTGTCCAAAACAGTCTTTCCAAGGCAGCCGCCGGTGGGCATCCTGCCGCTGGGCACCGGCAACGACCTCGCAAGGGTGCTGGGATGGGGCAGCGGGTACTCCAATCAGCCAATCACTGGTACGAACCACAGATCCACTCCAACATAAGAACCTTTTCTGCTATTATGATTGAATATATATATATATGTTTAGGTGGGGTTGTCCAAAGCGCTTCGCCTCCGTCAAGCCAAAAAGGTCCAGGTGCGGCTGAAAGAACGTCTGCCGCTGCAAATCGACGGCGAGCCGTGGATGCAAGATCCGTGCGTGATGGACATTTCGTTTCACCACCAGGTTGGATTAAATCCAATGTCACATCTGAGATGCCGTGCTGGGTAGGCGTTCATGCTAGCCAAGACCACGCACGAGCGCGACACAGTCACCCGGCAAGTGGGTGAGGTATCAACTACGCTGTAAGTGTCGAGTACAACTTGATGGGAGTGTTTGGTTGGTAGGTATTGGATTGGGCAGGGAATGCCAACGTCATCACGTGGGAGCAGCGAGACGTGCTGCTCGCAGAAATCACAAGGCGAGTGCACGCCAAGGACCAACAGCACTGTGCTATCGTTCGCCGGCACTTTGCAACGTAGAAAACGTAACGTAGAGCTCCAATTTACGAGACATATTTTGGCGTCGCGGTCGTGAATTGAAGCGTCAAGCAATCCCCGATTAACAGTAAAATAGTCCCACTGTTGTTTTGACTCGCACCACTATTCATGAGGGAATTGTGCCGATCCGGATATATTACTTTACAGTTACTCCAAAAAGAATTGTTGGATTTCACAAAAAAACATGCAATTAAGGTCCAATCTTTGAATTTTCTCGTTCTTATTGGCTCAAAAGAATGGTATTGACGAGCTCTTTCATTAGGCCTCTGGACCAATTACACAGTTTTTGCTCAAATAGTGCAATATATTGGAATCATATCGAGATATTTCGCATTTTGTGCCTCAACTGACGATATATATACGATAAAATTATCTACTGACTCTTTGGCTGAAAGATTGACAACTACAGCAGTGATCAAGAAACCTCGTAATTTACTCATCTACTTGTCAAGTATGAAGTTACTGATCAAATATGTAAATATAGAGGTATATTTCCATCGCCCTTGGACTCAAATTCTCGTTGACTGTAAATTTTTCGCGTCAATCACAACGACAGCTCAACATCCTCAAGAGTGCCTTCTAACTACTACGTAGTATTCGTTTACTCGTAACTCATAATTCATCTCTTTCATCTCCTGTGTACCATGCGTCTCAATGTGTCGTCTATGATGGAGCGCCTCCAGGACCAGACTGCCTCGGATATCCTCGACCTCCAGCAAAGTCTGAATTCGGCGAAGCCGTCCTGGAAGTATGATGCTGTTGCGTCTCGAGGACAATGACTACTATCGTGCCGTCATGGCACGCACAAGTGTGTGGTAGCTGAGAACACCTCAAAGAGAGCCGCGAACCACCACAGATACCTACAGCGCCGTGCAGAGCGGTTTGCGACGGAAGCTGCCCGCGCCAGCCGTACTTCACGTGGCCTTCCTTGCCTCCCATGGCGAGTAATCGCCGCTGATAAATGGTTTTTAATCAATTATTTGAAATTTGTATGCAAGAGAGTAGTAATAATAAAATTCATACAAACAACAAGTATAAATATATCTGAATTATTTTATTATGGAAACTTTGTCCTTGATTCCGATCTACTCAGTTATCGCTTACTATCGAGTCATTTTGGAAATGACTGGGATATTGCTGAATTGCAGACTCATGAGGAAAAGACTCTATTTCTTCAGAAATACCAGAGCAAGTAAGTCATCAGTAGCTAAAGCATATTGGATATAAACCAGGCTTTCACTGAAACATTCATGCTCTTCCGAAATATGTGACGAACTGGTTTGGTGACCTATTGGGTGTAAACAAATCTGAAATTGGGTACTTTTTGCAGAAATTAGAGCCTACTACTGTAGTACTACAGTACTAGGAGTATGGGAGTAAACCTCTATACTTTGATGTGATTGCACGTGGACTTGACCTGTACATGGAGAGGTAACTGGATAAAATCAAGTGAGTGGCTCGGAACTGTTTTCAGCCTATGGATGTTTTCACTCCTTTAGTTCATTTTCCATCAACACCAAAGCGAATTTCGACATCATTTTAAGTCCCACGAACGGCATTAATATTGTAATACTGCTGGTAGCAATTTGGAATACCGGTAAAGGAACCCCTCCATCGAAGGGTCCCAAAAAGTGTCACGGAACCATCCCCAAACCTGAGATAACGTTATTGAAATAGAAATAAAAACACCGTTGGAGATGCTATATTAGCCGTGTTCGGACGCACCAAGAATCCAATTTTGCTCCGAACACGGTCGTTCAAGTGTATCACTAAACCCCAACCGTCTCCACCATAAACACAACCGTAATTTTCTTCTACTAGTAATACTATTCGAAGTTTCGGATAATTTTTTCTCTATTATCCGGGAAATTAGGTGATACTTCGTACCCGGTACGAGTAACGTTATTTGGTTTGGAGCGACACTAAATTTTCTCGTTTTACGGTCGACAATAAACATAAACACCAAATTACCCGGAAAACATATGATGCTCGTCACCTATAAACTACCATTTTTTTTTTCACAAAATTTTCTGACTTCTATTTCGTATTCATTACTCAAAATTTCAGCAAATTGAGACGTAGAATCGACAGATCTCAATGTGGTGAAGTAATTCTACGTCTCATATTCAAATTTGGTGATGAATTGGTCCAGAAATAGATATTTAACCTAGTGGTATTTTACATGGGCGCATGGATATTTGGCCATAGGGGTGGCCGCTGATATGTATCTTGATTTTTGTATGTGACTCTTATCCGTATGTAGTATCCGGAGGCAGTTGGGACCTTTAACCTCTCACTGCAGTGATAAAACGCATAAAATCGGTATTTACAGTTAACGTTTTAGTTTTTGGCTTTAACTACATTAATTGTACGTTAAATAATAAAACCTCCACTCCTCGATTTGGCCAGTTGGAAGTTTTTAGATGACGTGCATCATACACTTATCCGAAATTGTACCGGATACAACAAATGCTATCCGGGAAATCCGAAGTTTGATTTTACATGTTAGTGCCAAATATACTGGCGCCGCGGTGGAGATGCTCTTCTTAGGTTGGAAACTCCAAGGACATTTCAAAACCACCCCAAAAATAAGCATAGTTTGGCCCAGCCATTTGCCCCATAATGCATTGATTGGCTAGAATAAGCCAATCATATCAATCAATTTCCATTGGTACTAATTTACTGTTATTAATACAAGTAGTTCTTCAAACGAAAATGGATTGTAGCCAATCAGAAACAAGTAGTTTTGGATTGACCAATGGGAGAGATTGGTGCTCGATTCGCTCGGCGAGATTCGATTGAACGGGGTCGGAAATTCATACCGAATCTCCAATACCCCAAGCGAACTTCTTTGCTGAGACGATATTTGCATCTCCGCAAAGAAAGTCGATGGATTTGAAATATAATTCCGGATGACTAAAAAAAGGTTTAACTAGTCAGTTTTGGAAGCCACGCAGCTGTTCCAACGAATTTCTCACGTCTGGTTTTGACTTCGCTTTTGTATACAATAAATATCACAACGAACAAGAAAGTCGGACAAACGGTCCGAAGATCACTTGGTTCCTGTATATCCTGTCCGATGTTTTTCCACTAGCAGTGTAGAGGAAGTACAGTACTAACGTATCATAACGAATATTTTATTTTTTAAAATAAAATAATCGTTATGAGCAGTACTAAAGTAAACTTCGAAGTATTAATATTAGTACGTGTTATAAAAATAAGTTTCCATTTCTGTAACTGTAAGTACGTTCCATTTGGTGCTGAAACTTCATTTCAAACCTGGTTCAACTCGATCCAGAATAGAACCCCGCACAGACTGCACGATAAACCCTAAACTCAAATACCACGTAGTACTAGGATACTTTTGCATAGAGGAAATATATCCTAGGTCAAAAGTTATGGGAGTCACAAATCTTGCATTCGTTCCGCCATAACGGGTACTGTAGTACCGTACGATTAACCCCTAGTAAGAGTTGAGGTGGTCAGAGTACAACATATATGCCTAATCTATCTAGAGTTTATTAGTTTGACGGTTTTCAGTAATGGCTGAACGGTAACGTTATCCAGATTTATTGAAAGTTTTTCCAGACGAGCACAATTTTGGGCTTGTACATTGTGCGACAATTGCGTTACAAGGGTGTCATTAGTATTACTATAGTAGTACTAGTAAAAAAGTGAGTCGTCTGTGGGACTCGAAACCTTCGACTCAACAGTCGGACACACAGAGTTTTTCGGGGTACTATGCTCGACACTGCCCGGGCTCGAACCCATGTCCCTCTATCATCACGGATGCCATCGTGCTAACCGTGTGCGCACTGCGTTTAGTGTTCGTATTACTTCGAAGTACTACTGAATATAAGCACTCTATACTCTTGTATTTAGTTCATTGTTAAATCCGATGCAGCGTGTGCTCAAGCAGTTTAATTATCCAAGACAATTCCATTGCAAATTTTAATAACCTCCAACAAAGTCTGCCCTGATCGGCTCCTACAACCCGTAACCCAATACTAGTACTACTATAGTACTTTAGTAAACAGTAGCATTTCATATCAGGTCGAAGACAACGTTTGGTGGACCTCATACTAGTACTGTACTAGTAGCTCCGAAACCCTGAAAGTACGTGTAGTACTAGTACTATACAGTAATGCGATATCTACCCAGTGGTTCAGCATGCTCTGAGGTTAAACGCAGTGGCGCACACGGTTAGCACGATGGCATCCGTGATGATAGAGGGACATGGGTTCGAGCCGGGGCAGTGTCGAGCATAGTACCCCGAAAAACTCTGTGTGTCCGACTGTTGAGTCGAAGGTACTGTACGGGTTCGAGTCCCACAGACGACTCACTTTTTTACTAGTACTACTATAGTAATACTAATGACACCCTTGTAACGCAATTGTCGCACAATGTACAGTACAAGCCCAAAATTGTTCTCAAACCAATCTGTCAGCATGTGTAACATTTGGACCTTCCAGAGTCAGCACCCAATTTCAGAATTCGCGTCTGCAATCGACAACATCAACATGCCATTGGTTGATGTACAGCTCAAGGTTGAGACAACACTCAAGGTTGAGACAACACTCACCGTTGATCTTGCCACTTTGTCCTAGCGATCACGCCTCGCTTTACCATTCTTAAAACCACCTCGTCCGGTTCGGTATGAAGGTTTTGCTTGCGCTTGTGGCGCTGCCGTATGCGACGGGAGCTACGGACTTCAATGCGGAAGCCAAAGTCATTGTGGATGGAATGACCATCGACCAACTGATCGGCCAAATGACGCAGGTGAACATTAACTATGTCATCCAAGACCAGAACGCGAAAAAGGTGGTCGATCCGTCCAAAGTCGAGGAGCTGGCCAACCAGCGCATCGGGTCGTACTTGAACTCGCCCTTCAGCCTATCGACGGCTGCAAACGTCACGGGATGGAGCGCCACCGAATGGCGCAGCGCGATCAGTCAGATCCAGACCACGCACAAAGCAACGACGGGCCACCCCATCATTTACGGTGTGGATTCGCTGCATGGCGCCAACTACGTCCAGAACGCCGTGCTGTTTCCTCACCAAATCAACGTCGGCGCCACGTTCGACCCAGCCTTCGCCAGCCAAATGGGGCGCTTTGCCGGGCGAGACACGCGAGCTGCGGGAATTCATTGGATCTTTGGGCCGTGCTTGGAACCCGCCCGCCACAAAGGCTGGCCGCGCATCATGGAGACGTTCGGGGAGGATCCGACGGTCGTGGCGGACATGGGGCGAGCCATCGTGCAGGGTATCCAGAGCAACAACGTGGCCGCGTGCTTCAAGCACTACATCGGGTACTCAGGGAGTGCGTCGGGAAAAGACCGCGACCCCGTGACCCTGAGCAAGCACGAGCTGCTCAACATCTTCATGCTGCCGTTCAAAGCCGTGATTGACGCCGGGATCATGACCGGCATGGACTCGTACATTGCGTTGAATGGCGTCCCCACCTCTGCGAACCGGCAAACGTCCATCGACTTGCTGCGCACGGATTTGAAGTTTGACGGGTTCTTGGTGTCGGACTGGGAAGAGATTTACATGATGGAGTACTTCCACAAATACGCAACCGACAGACAAGACGCCGTGTTCAAAGCCATGTCCAACTCGTCGTTAGATATGAGCATGGTCCCGACGGACACGAGCTTCATTGGGATCATGAAGACCCTTTACGACAGTGGAAAGGTCTCCCTCGATCGCATTCGCACGTCAGCCCAACGCATTGTCAAAGTCAAACTGCAGCTCAACCTGTACAACGACCCCGTGCCTGGGGCGGACTTAGTCAATGCTGTGGGCGATTTCGACAGTCAAAGTGCCGCCTTGGAAACAGCCAAGGCGTCGCTGGTGCTGGTCAAAAACACGAACAACGTGCTGCCGCTAGACCCCGCCAAGTCTTTCTTCTTCACGGGGCCCTCCATTGACGACATTGGGCTCCTTTGCGGAGGTTGGACCATCCGCTGGCAAGGGGTCCAGGGTACCAGCAACTTCCCAGCGTACGGTCGAACGATCCAAGCGGCCATGAGTGCCGTGGTGGGCAATGCCACGCGAGCTCAGTTCTACCAAGGAGTCAGCATCGAAGGCACGTGGTGGGACATCAACTTGGCCAAGCAGAAGGCCCAAGCCGCCGACTACACTGTGATTGCGCTGGGGGAGCGGACGTACGCCGAAGAGCCGGGCAACTCGGACCCGTATGAGCTGCCCACGGGACTGACCGACTACGTCAAGGCCCTCGCCACAACGGGCACAAAGATCATTTTGGTGCTGGTGGAAGGGCGCCCTCGCTTGTTGAGTGGCATTGCAGACCTCGCTGCAGCTGTGCTGTACGCGGGTCTGCCCTGTGAATTGGGTGGGGAAGCCATCTCGAGCGTGCTGTTTGGTAGCACAAATCCCAGCGGACGAATGGTGATGACGTACCCTAAATCAACAGACCAAAACAACCTGGCCACGCCGTACTACGGACGAGTGGGGGACGAGTGTGTCGTCGGCGGAGTCACGACGCATTGTCCGGTGGAATGGCACTTTGGCCACGGGTTGAGTTACACGTCGTTTAGCTACTCGGATGCTCAGTTGTCAGTCACGAACCTGACGCCGTCGTCGAGTGAGACGACGGTGACCGTCACCGTGACAAACGAGGGCAGCATTACCGGCAAGGAGTCGGTGCTGCTGTTTGTGTCGGCGCCCGGGGGGCCTGAAACGAGATTGCTCAAGAAATACACCAAGGTCGAGCTGATACCAGGGCAATCCAAGGAGGTGAGTTTTACGCTTTCTCCGGATGACTTTGGCAAATACGTCAACGAAATCGGTCAAGGGCTGCGAAAAGAGGCAACTGCTGGAACGTACTACGTGTCACTCAAATATGACACCCTTTGCAATGCAGCCACCCTTGGCCCCCACTGTAAGGCCTTCACGTGGAACAGTGCCAGTGCCCCAACTGGCACTTTTTACAAGCTTCACGTGGACGCGTACAACTTTGTGCTTGCAAACCCGTCCTCGGAGCCAGTCGTGTTTGTCGCCGACGTTGCCAATGCGCCTGCGCAAGAGTGGTCTTTTGACAGCGCCACGAGTCAAGTCGTGAATCACGGCACTGGCCGCTGTTTGGATGCATGGGAGCCCAAGAATGGCGGGGCGGTCCACACGTGGGATTGCAGCGCCAACAATATCAACCAATATTGGTCGTACGAAGCCACGACAAAGCAACTCCGACACAAGACACACGCGGACTACTGCTTGGACATTGGTACGCCTACTGGCACGAAGCCTCACTTGTGGCAGTGCCACACTAGCACGCATCCGGATGTCAAGAACCAGCAACTTACCCTTCTATCGCCCTCCCTCGACCGAGTGGTGACCAACACGGCCTTCGGAACCGTACTGACGGCCGTGGGGGATGCTGCCATTGCGTTCCAGCCGCTCGTGGCTTCCAGTGCGACGCAGCTATGGCAACTGGACTCGTCTCAACTGCTTCGGTCGACGGGGGCCCCCAACAAGTGCGTGGATGCATACAAGCCTGAGAATGGTGGACCCGTGCATTTGTGGGACTGCGATGCTACCAATGTCAACCAGCTATGGACGTACGACGCCACCACAAAGCAACTCCAACACAAGACACACATTGGGTACTGCTTGGACATTGGTACGCCTACTTGCACGAAGCCTCACTTGTGGCAGTGCCACGCAAGCACGCATCCGGATGTCAAGAACCAGCAACTTAACCTCCTGTCGCCCGCCCTCGACCTAGTGGTGACCAACACGGCGTTCGGAACCGTACTGACGGCCGTGGGGGATGCTGCCATTGCGTTCCAGCCGCTCGTGGCTTCCAGTGCGACGCAGCTGTGGCAACTGGACTCGTCTCAACTGCTTCGGTCGACGGCAGTCACCAACAAGTGCGTGGATGCATACAAGCCTGAGAATGGTGGCCCCGTGCATTTGTGGGACTGCAGTGCTACCAACGTCAACCAGCTATGGACGTATGACGCCACCACAAAGCAACTCCGACACAAGACACACGTGGACTACTGCTTGGACATTGGAACGCCTACTGGCACGAAGCCTCACTTGTGGCAGTGCCACGCAAGCACGCATCCGGATGTCAAGAACCAGCAACTTAACCTCCTGTCGCCCGCCCTCGACCTAGTGGTGACCAACACGGCGTTCGGAAGCGTACTGACGGCCGTGGGGGATGTTGCCATTGCGTTCCAGCCGCTCGTGGCTTCCAGTGCGACGCAGCTGTGGCAACTGGACTCGTCTCAACTGCTTCGGTCGACGGGGGCCCCCAACAAGTGCGTGGATGCATACAAGCCTGAGAATGGTGGACCCGTGCATTTGTGGGACTGCGATGCTACCAATGTCAACCAGCTATGGACGTACGACGCCACCACAAAGCAACTCCAACACAAGACACACATTGGGTACTGCTTGGACATTGGTAGCCCCTCGGGCGAGTCACCGCATCTGTGGACGTGCTTGCCTACGACCCTCGCTGACGTGAAGAACCAGGTGTTTGTGTTTTAGCCACATGCTATTATTAGAGTTTTTCTGAAGCACTTTTGAGATTCAGGTTGTCGAACTCATCTCAAAAGTGGAGAAAGTAAAACTTCGGTGAAGAATTCAAGATGCGGAAATGAAATACGACGTCCTTTTCATCACTGTCAGTACTCGGAGAATAAATATAACGCCCCGAAACTCCAGAAACCCCAAACTCCGTCTGAAAAGCAGAATACTTCGAAGTACCTACCAATCAACCATATAGACCTTTGTATAATGTACTTGAACAGCTATACAGGGACCGTCATTTAAAAGGACTTGTCGAAACAAGACCTTCACATTCTGCTTCGTCCAAAGACAAAACAATTTTGTATTAACGGACACTGATACAGACATACTTCCAGGACTAACCCGAAAGTGCAATATGCAAGAATCCGGTTTTTATTTTTGTCAATCGAACACAGTCTGGAACGAAGTAACGTTATAATAAAAACAAGTGTCGGATGCAGACCCGAAGGGCTCCATGGTGCAAGAATGTAGAGATATCGCAATGACATCCACAGATGAAAACAAATGAATGACACCAACAATCGTCGGTGGCGTTTCTCAGTTGTATGCAAGTTTTGTTCAGTCAATTTATGTCCATTATTGGCAACCCTGGGCCTTCAATTCAGTCCATTTGGGGCGTAGACACAATAACGTTAACCTTCAAAGTTCTCATAATACGGGGAGAGTCTTTCAAACTGTCGGCAGCTCAACTGTCGACTGATACAGACGGATAATTATCCGGGTAATATGAATTCCAAATTTGTACGGCTACTTTTTAGCTGAGGCAAAACAGTACGACTTCGCTATTGCCAAGAATACCCGTAACTTCCCACCCGCACTATTCACCAAGTGGTTTCCTGGAATCGCGTACGAACCATCCATTCAACGTGGTTCCTTGTATTGTTGTGCAACTGAGGCACAGGGAAAACCAAAGGACACAAGTACATTCCGAGTTTGCTTTCGATTTGGTTTTGTGACGCGAACGTATGAGCGGATTTGGGGTCATCCAGAGCATCACAGAATCATTTGCTGTGTCGAAAGGAGTATATTGGTGGTCTGGGTGTTCTAGTGCAGCGGGCTCGCCAAATGGAACACGCTGAATTGACCGAGTGTTTTGACCTTGGGGCTGCTGGGATCAACGCTGTCAAAGCCAGGGAAATCCTCACACTAAAATTTCCCGGGAGGTTGTACTGTACTAAACTGCTGTGTCGAGTTTTAGCCAAAGGCCACGATCGCCACTTTGGCAATGACGTCGACGGTATGACCATGTTCTTAGCGGAAGGTGAGCGCGTTCGAAGTAATGGCGGTGTGTTCGAGCTGGGTTTTACGACTGACGCTCGTATTTCTGACGTGTACGTAATGACGTGCTCAATGCGCCAGCATGCTGCTGTGTACGGTGATGTTGTGATTAACGACGGCATGCATGGAATGGACTGGTACGGCTCCGTCACTATGCCAAACACGCTTGTTGATTGTCTGGGGAAGTCAGTTATTTGCTCTTATTCGCAATATCGATCCGAGCATTGTGCGCACCTCACCCGAGCATTTGATTTGTTTGGTTTGGGTCGTAGTGGCTCCACCCTCCTTACCGATGATGGCGCTGCGTACAGTGTTGTGGCAAATCATTTCTCCATGGTGCATTTACTTTGTTCACAGCACTAGATTGTCACTGCAATGGATTGTCGCACTGGGTTTGGCGACTTGGATGCTTCTTTATTGGCACATGTGCGTGAAGCAATTTTTTTGGACTTCAAAACTTCACGTGGACTGGACGAACACTTTTCAAGGATGTCAATTCTCTTTGGCCACGTCCCGCGGGCTGAGTTCTTTGTCAAAAAATTAACAGCAGACAGGCTCTTGGTTTGCAAAACCCACACAACCCGTGTATTCAGCTGTGGCGCCTCGTCTACCCAACGCGGCGAGGGGGCGAATAGCCGCCTCAAGGGCAACTGAACCAATAAAATGGAGCTGAGGCGCTATTCCCTGTATAAGCTGCTCAAGTGGTACCTCACAACGATCGGCATGCAAGACGAGGCTAGCTTGCAGCAGCTTGTACAACACATTACCCGCGGGGATTTGTGGTCGAAGTACGTGGCCACGGTGAAGAAGGGTCAGGTCGAGCTGAATGGATCCATCCATTACACAACAGTCGAACAACTAGACGGCTCGTATATTGTGTCCTATCTCAAGGACAGTCAAGTATCAAATCACCGAGTTCAGTTTTTTCAAGAACCCCCTACTTGCTCGTGTGGCACCTATTTGTCCATTGCTATCCCATGTCGACATATTTGTGCTGTTGCCGCAATGAAGTGTGAAAACGTGTACAGTGTGCGTCTGCTGCATCGTCGGTGGCAGCTGCAGCACCATCCATTGTACAATGTAGCCTACAATCGCGCGTGGAATATATGCCCGGTGCCAACGCCAGTATCGACAATTCAAATCGCAAACATTCACGCAAACGTACACACGCCCACGGTGTTGACTCGGTCATTCATTGAAATGGCTGTTCCGGAGGGGCAGAAGGAGCGCTACTCGCGCCTTCAAGATCGCTTCAAAGAAGTCACAGCTGTTGCTGTTCGTACCGATGCGTCGTATAAGTACGCCATGTTGTACTTGAACGATCTCCTCAGCAAACTTTCAACTTGAGACCCACTTCCCGTGGAAGGCACCGTATTGGTTCGACCCCCCCCCCTTCCAAGCCAAGCGAACAGCGTCAACGAGTAATTTGTCCCGATTGCAGTACAAAAAGCAATCTCGAAGTATCCAGCCTACAGCCTCAAAATTCACCGGCAAAACTAAGCGGCACTGCTAGACTTATGCTAGTCACGGTGTAGCAAGTACAGATCATCGAAGCGGTCCGAAATGCCCTTGGTATTCAAATGTATAAAGTGTTCACATTTATCCAATTCTTCATGAAAGTAATCAGCAAGCATTGCACGACACAGCAACCCGCTTCACGACGAACTGAAGCCCTCACAGTTCTTGATACACAGCTCAACAGCATATTCATCACCAACACATACATTATATATTACCAATTTCGAACGATGATAGAGCAATCTAGCTCTGAGTGGGACAAACTTGGTGGTGGTGCAAGCTTTGGATTCGTACGAGCGATGTACGATAAAATGTTTCACTATAGAGGGCATTAATGGCCTATGTAAGCCAAGAACTCGATGTTTATAGAATGATTCAACGTGCATACCTGTCATGTGGAGGGGATTGCTGGTAGTGTGTTGATCGTCGAGGGCCTATAAATGAACTCGAAGGTAAACACGAAGGTTGATTGATAACTATCGTGACGTGTTGTGACGTACATGAGCATACGAGCTGGTGGATGCCCAGGCTTGTGGGTTGTAGCTTCGACGTACGGCGCCGTCGTGTGCACCATCGCCCCGTTCACATCGATGCTCCTTTCTGAATGAATGTAGCTTCGACGTACGGCGCCGTCGTGTGCACCATCGCCCCGTTCACTTCGATGCTGCTTTCTGAATGAATGGATACTGAATTCAATCCGGTTAAATTAAATATCCGGAACATATGGTTACCGACAGCTTATCTGTCGACAGCCGAAACGACACTTCCCATAATACGTAGTATTCTCGCTGAGGTAGTT